AAAAAAAAAAAAAAAAAAGAATAAGGAAGCTGGGCACTATGGCGCATGCCTGTAATCCCAGCACTGGGGAGGCTGAGGCAGGAAGATCACCATGAGTTTGAGGCCAGCCTGGGCTACACAGTTGAGTTCGAGGCCAGCCTGAACTACATAGCAAGACCCTTTGTCCAAAACACAAAATCAAAAAAAAAAAAAAAAAAAAAAAAAAAAAAAAAAAAAAAAAAAAAAAAATTAGGAAAATTTCTGTCCTACACTACTGTGGACAGATGGCTAGAGTAGGTGATCAAACAAGTTGCTGAATTTACCCATTATATGACTTACATTTGTAAAATAAAATTTTAAGGAATATGACTTAACCATGACTTTTCCTCAGAAATCTCAGAAGAAGCTTAAAACTACAAAACAGCAGTAAAGGAAGGCAGATGTCACTTTCCAGCTCCACTGGCCGCTCCAACATGGGGCCCAGTGGGTGGGGCAGAGGCCCAGGGCTGCGTCCCTTCTGCCTTCCTCCCATCACCCACCTGGGCCACATCCTCTCCGCCCACCGGGGTACCCACAGCCATGCGCTCTGCTCAGCAGCGCCCGCCCTCAAGTGCGGTGAGGGCGTGGGGACAGGCAAGGAAGAGGCGACAGCGCTCACATCGGAGGTGACGAGGCTCCCGGATGCCGGCATGGAGGGGAGCCAGGATTGCAACAGCTGGAGAGTGGGTTTGTGAGTGAGTGGGCAGCAGCCTGCGGTGGGCAGGAGGGGAGGTTTGTGGGAAGCAAGGTTGGCAGAAATAGCCAGGCCTGCAGGCACCAGCGGCCTGGAGGAGGGGACCCTTACCCCTAGCCAACTGCCCCTGGTCATCCCAGGCACAACCTGCTTTCACTCACTTCCTGTGGTTTTCTTTTTCCTCAGGTAGTTCCTGACTCACAGGCTCCTCTCCTTCCTGTCCCTCTGTGAGTGACTCGGAGGGAAGGTCAAGACCCACCTGAAGCCAGGGAGAAGCAGAGATCCTCCTGTCTCAGCCTGCCCAGCCCTGACACTGTGGCCCAGCCTCAGAGCCACTGGGTCCAAAGCTTACCTCAGTGGGTCCTACTGAGTCTCCCCAACTCCTTGAAAGGGGGAGGCTACAGTGCCCGGACTCCCAACTCCAGTCCTGCCCCATCCAATACCCTAACCCTGCTTGCCATCCGCACTCCAACAAGCCCCCAAGAGTTAAATGGGGTCTCCTCTCTCAGTAAGGGTCTTGCAATTAAATCAGAGCCAATGTCGCTTCCCAGAGTAGGAGCTGCAGGGCCTGCAGGCTAAACGCAACAGTGGAGTCTCCCCTGGGGATCCACTCTCCACCAGCCCAAGTACTAGTCACAGCCTCCCAAGCAGGCAAGGAAGCCTTACTGTCCCTACCAGCAGCTGAGAAAGAAATGAACATGCAGCCTAACCTTGACTAATGAGAGCTGGGGGCAAGTTGTCTGGGTTCACTTTCAGGGAAAAGTTTTCTTTTTTTTTTTTTTCAGCTTTAATTGAGTTTATTGGTACATTTTAGGGATACAGTACAGTTGCATTCATTGTTGGGATCTTGTACCTCTACATGACAAGTCTTGATTCTCATTTTTTCCCCTTACCTCTGCCCTCCCTTCACCCCCTCCTCCCCTCCCCATCTACAAACACTTTATTTTTAATCTTTTCATTCTCTCACATGTTTTTCTGGGAAAAGTTTTCTTAATCTTAAAAATAGTCCCAAAGAAAATGATGGTACTTCTTCAGCCTCTAAACATATAATGTCTGGATGTGATGTCTGGAACCTAAGCAGCTCTCTTGCAACCATGAGGGCAGCTATTGCACTTGAGGAACAAACCAATACCCTGAAGAGAGTGGAGCAGAGAGACGGATGGGACCTGAGTCTGAAAATGTAGTAAATCCACTTACTTTCCCTCCCTCCAGTCATCAGCCCTCAGGCTTTGTTTGTGAAATAAAAACTCTCAGTGGGCTGTGAATGAATGACTGTCTGGGGACTGCAGTGGTCTAAGTCATCACAGGGGAGCTGGGCCAGGTCATCCACTGCCACAGGGGCTCAGCAGGCAAGAGGGAGGCCCTTTGGCCTTTCTCTAGAGTTGTGCTCTCCAGTCATGGACCCACTGGGCCTGTTTTTTTTTGGGGGGGGTGAGACGGGGTCTCACTATGTAGTTGAGACTGACCTGGAACTCACTAGCCCAGGCTGTCCTTGAACTCACAGCGATCCTCCTGCCTCAGCTTCCCAAGTGCTGGGATTATAGGCGTGTGCCACCATACCCAGCTGGGCCTTTTCCATTTCTGTCCCCAGTGCCAGGCCCAGGAGAGCACAGGGTGGGTGCCTGCAACAGGCTTAGGACACACTGAAGAGAGGGACTCTGTGAACCAAGATGCTAGGCTGTGGACAGGTTGGGCCAGTGACAGGGGAGGGGAGCTGCCGGGGGCAAAGGAAACGGCCAAAGACCTTCTTGGGGCTTGGGGCTGGCTGAGCCCCCAGGGTGGCCAGGGCTGAAGCTTGAGTCCTGGTGGGATCCGGGTGTAGGAACAGAGATAACCCTTCCACCCACCCTGCAAGGCCGAGCAAAGCCTCAGCCATCCCAGCCCAGCTCATGGCTGGCAAGTGAAGAATCGGGAAGCTGGGAGTTTCCATGAGTGAGTCTTTCCATCCTCAAACCAAAGCCTGCGTCCTCAGCCCAGAAATGAAGCGACCACTTCCTCTCCAGAGCGGCCCAGCCTGGGAAGGCCCTGGAGGAGCCCAGAGTGTCCACACCTTTGCACAGGGTCAGCCTGGGGTCCCCTGCCTGCTTCGCTAGGGTCACACTGAGCATGCTTTCCCTTCCGGGGCTGGGTTCCTCAAGTAGGGACAGGAGCCCTAACTCAGACTCGGATATGAGGTGGCTGCCCGGCTGGCCCGGCATTCACTCTGAAGGCTGACACCAGAAGAGGCTGCAGTGACAGCTCCAGTGGGGCACCCGCGGCCTGGTAACACCCAACACCTGGTCCCTGCGTGAGCAAGTGGTCCCCTTGGGTTTCACCCTGTGCTCTGGCTGTCCTTTTCTCGGTTTCCTATGCGAGACGAAGTCAGCTGAACATGCTCTAGGTGTCGTCCTGTGGCCCACGACCCACACTTCTCCCTCAGGGGCCTGGAGAGTCCCAGGAGGCAGCGCTAAGTGACCAGCTTCCAGATGTCCACTAGTGAAAGCCTAATCTGCAAGCAAGGATTCCTGAGGCAGGCTGTTTAGCTCCAGGGGCTCCTCCTTTGGGCCAGGATGTCTGCGTACAGGGCTACGAGAGGGCGGAGTGGGTGGCAAACAAGGCACTTCACCTGGAAAGTGTGCCTCCAACGACGGTCCCCACCTCTGGCACTGTGTAGATTTCATCCACCTGGAGCCAAGAAAAGTGTCACTGTCCTGCCCAGTAGGGCCGGCAGGTCCAGCAGCTCTCCTCGCCCTGGGCCTGATACCTGGAATTCTGTCAGCTGCTGCATGAGCTCCTCCTGCTCTTTGCTGTTGGTGAAGATGGGGGTGACACTGCACGGGGAGGCATGGAAGGGGCAGGTGAGGGAAGGCTGGCGGGAAACAGAGGCCAGGGCCCACACGGAGAGGGGAGCTTTTCTCAGGGAAGCCAAGGAAACAGCAAACATCTCCAGGGTCCCCAGCATCAGGAAAGCTCCATGTGGGCTCGGGACGGAGCCAGAAGCCCTTCAGAGGAACTCCCATAGTCCCAAGCTGGAAAGGCTGCAGAACTGGGGCACAGCCGGCCTGGCCCCAATGACAGGCTCCAAGTTCTGTGGCTCTCCCTGACCACACGATACAAGGCTGGGTCGGACTTGGAGGCTGAGGAAGGGGCGCATGCACGGTAGTCACTGAGGGCCAGGGAAGGAGTAGGGCTGAGGCTGCGCAGAGAGGTGTGGATCCTCAGTCGGCCAGCGTTGTGGGACGGGGTGGTTAACCAGCATTCCAATCCGAGGTCAAGCTCAATGACCTTACGAACATGAACACATGGAATCCTCAGAACAAAACTACTGTGACAGCACACCCAGTCAGAGGCAGGGAAACAGCTGCAGAGAGGTTACCTAACCTGCCCATTGTCATCCCCCTGGGAAGTGGCTGAATCGGGATTCGAACCTGATACAACGTGGCTTGAGCTGAGGCCTGTTCGTGGTGGGTCAAAGAGAGTCAAGGTGAAGAGGTCAGGTCAGGATGATACCCCTGACTAGAAGGCCTTGCTTTCTCAGGGCGGGGCCTCTGCGCCTTCTCCTTGGGCTGGGTTGGCTGGGGCCCAGGGGGTGTGCCTGCAATGACAGGAGCCTGAGCCAATGGCGGGGCCACAGGGAACCCCTCCCCCAAGTTTCTATTATAGTAGGAGAAAGCCAGGAGGGAAGAGGAATTGGCTGGAGAGCAGACTGAGCCAGTCACCCTCCGTCCCCGAGGAAACCAGGCCAGGCCACGGCTGAGAACAGTGGAGCCTGGGCCCACAGCCCCTACCTCCAGCTCCCTGCTGGGGTCCAGACATCCCCTCCCCTGGCACCCGAGGGGCCCCCACACCCCACTCTGGCTGCTGAGGTGGGGGGGTCAGGTCCTTCCCAGCTCTTCCAGGAGGAGGCCCTCGGAGATGGCCCTGCCTTTTCTACCTCAGCCTCAAGGCTGAAAGGCAGGGGTGGTCCTGGGCGCACGTGTATGCGCGCACGCACACACACACACACACACACACACACACAAACGTGGCCACCACATCCATCACCTCTGTGTACACAGTCGCACTCCACACACTTGCATATTCATTTACACACTCAGACACAAACACACTCGGACCCTCACAGGCACACACACTCTTGTGCATACCCCGACCCACCCCACTCTCCCAGGGCCCCATGGTCAGCCTGGCTGGTAGCTGCCAAGGGCTGGGCAGAAGCCTGGGCCAGGCAGGGAGCCCAGGAGGCAGGGCTGGGGTGCCACTGTCCCCTGCTACTTCCAGCCAGGCAGCCCCCATGCCGCATTGTCTGGGCACCTTGGGCTTGGCTCCAAACTTAGGGGGGCCCTGCCCTCCCCACAGGCTGGGCTTTAGTGTGAATAGGCTGTGTCCCTGTCACTGCCACCATCAGAATGATCAGGGCGGAGCCAGAGGAAGGGACGAGGCATCCCTTGGACCCTGGCCTGCTCTAAGGGGACCTGCACACACCCCCTACAGCAGAAGGCACTGTGTGCCTCCAGAGTGGCTGCTCCCGGGCCTACATCTAAGCCAAACAGGACTCCCCAGGCTACAAACTGGGCCCCATCCAGTCCTTGCTGGAGACCTCGAGAGTCCCTGGAGCCCTGTGGGATTTCCTTGGGCACCCAGGGGACCCACACTACCTCTTTTCCACTGCCCTCTTGTGATGCTCTTCACCCACAGAAAGGGCCCCCCACCCCTGGCCATCCTGAGGCTTCCTCTCCACCCACTTGCTCCTGTCCTGCAGGCCTCAGTCCACCCTGGAAGCCGGTAGTGTAGGGGTGACAAGCCAGGGTCAGCCTCCCTGTCCATCAGGAGCCCAGGGACACGTCTGTCTTCCTGTCCTGAGCTTAGACTCACATAGCCTGATACAAG